ATCTGAATATTCACTGCTCACTACTTGAGCGAACTATTGCGTGTGTACTATGTAGAGAATAATCAATGGAGTCAGGCCAGGTTTTCAAAGGTCAAAGGTTGCGATGTGAACCTTCTTTCTGTGTTTCCCCATTTCTAACTTTTCTTATTTCCTCTTCTCTCCAGCCCCGGTGCTGGACCGGCAGCAGCAGAGCCCACTCTCTCAGGTTGGACAGCTTGTTCAAGTCGAATGCTATTAGTTCTAGGTCAACGCCTGGGCTTTCTCTACACCCCAACAACACATTTTCACCAGGCAGGGATTCCAACCACCATTAATCAGAGTGGTGACAGCCCATGGATGTCAGTAAATATGTTTCCCTCACTGCCTCTTTTTCCCACCACTTTCCTTTCCCTCTCTCTCTCTCTCTCTCTTGCTCCTATGATTGTTCTTTTTCCCTGTTCTTCGGGGTTTAACGTTGACCGGTTCTTGCTTTGGTCTTTATTATTAATATCAGGAATCAACAATGGAAGCGTTCCACTGCACATTTAAGTTGGATAGTTTTAGGGGGTTTTGGTGGGGAGAGAAACTGAGAACAGAAAAAAACAACTACACCAAGGAGCAGAAAATTGCTTGGAGGGGAAACATTTCCCTCTTTCGCTTGTGCCCCGCTGCACCACACATTCTCTTACAACCAGCTTGCTTTTGAGCATCTGATATGCATGTTGTTTTTTTCTTTTGCACTGAACATAAGTGTTGGCCAGGTGTTTATGAATGTTGATGGAAGAAAACGTCTGCTCAGTTGAGACGGTGCGACAGTTTCCTCTCCTGCACGGGTGGTACAGCTGACAGGGGGGAGTGGGGGGGGGCGATGAGTGCTGGCTAGAGTAGTGGCTGGTGTTTGTGTGTGTGTGTGCGTGTGTGTGTGTGCGCAGGCAGAGGGTCAACGGCAGCCAGTTGGAGAAGTGGGTGCCCATCTCCGTTGGCATGCTGGGGCCGGGTACCTGCTGCTGTCCAGAGACAGCTGTGGTGTAGTCACCCGTGGCCGTGCAATCAGGTTGGTGGCTACTGAATGCTGATAATGCTGCAGTCTGCGCTTTCCCCCGCCTGGCAGACGGAGCTGCGACCAACCAATGATAAGCATTCCTCAGGAAAATAACTCAGGCCGGTGCCAGAGAAGTAAACAGAGAGCAGGAAGAGAGTGGAGGTGGGACAACGAGAGAGAGAGATGAAGAGATGAAGAGATAAAGAGAGACAGAGTGAGGGAGAAGGACGTGAAGTAAATGGTGACCTTTGCAAAGATGGATTTGTTTACCAACGCCTGCTCCAGAGTGACCTTCACACAGAGACAGAGCTGACGGCACTCATCTGTTCATCTTTGTGCCCACTCGTCAACGCTGATTCGTATCAAGTCAGCAGACAACACCAGCCATGTTTCCTCCGTCGCTTTCATTCCACTGCACACAGCCATGCTCATTTAATCACTATTAGCTGTAATCATGAGGGCTACAACAGGCCAACACTAGCAGGCGATACAAATTCCCTTAACTCATGAGTTAAGAGTGATGAATGCATATGAGATATACAAATATCGTCTGTTCAATAATCTATGTGTTGCTTACTGAGATCAATATGTGTGCAGTGATTGATTCTGCACCCTGATATTATTATTCATACTGTATCACAATGTGTTGTCTCAGGGAAAATGTCTCTTTTGCTTTATTTAAAGCACTCTGTGTTTGTGAGGTGCCTTTCAAGTGAACTCGCTTTGCCTTTCAGGCCAACTGGAGATTTAATAGTTAACTTCAAAATGTCTGGATCAGTTTAACTAGAGAATGTCAGAAAGCAGTCGATGTTTACAACAAATACAAGAAGATATGTTGCTTCTGAAGTATGTCTGCAGTCTTCAGCTGTCTTTTGTCACCTCGTGTGTGTGCTGCGAAGACTGTAAAAACAGGAAGACACTTCATCATTGAATTGTTCAATACTACTGAATCTTTCCTGTTAAAACTGATCATTTTCACATCAAAGTGTTAAAGATAATAGTCTTATATTAAAACTAATAATAGTGCAGCATCACCTATTAAGAGTCAAATAAAGGATAATACACCCCAAAACTAAATAATTAAATGAGAGTTTGGAACAGTTGCAACATTACACTTCCTTATATGATAATAGAGTTTACTCATCAGTAATCCCAGCAGATGGCAGTGTTGAGCTACTATTATGAACACAGTGACAGTGATGCACACACAACACTTCACAAACCAACAATGGAGATAATATCTTAAAATAAAACAATTCAAATTAGACCAGGAACCAGTGTGATGAATTATTGTGTTAGGAAGGTTTTAACTGAAGAAATTATGAGTGAAAATATCAAACAAATATCTAAGATTTGAAAAGATTAAAGAGCATAATAATGCACTTAACCTGAACATGAACCCCACCCTCCTGCTCTCCACTCATGGAACATGGCTTGTGTCTTCATCTTGTCTGTGTGGAATAAATGATAGGAAGCCATTATTTATAAATGATTTCCACTCAGACAGGACCACTCCCCAGTTTAAGAAAACATCAGGGTCTGCTTCCTGATATCTATTGTGTGATTGTGATTTATTGTCCAAAACCACGGAGATGTTGATGTATTTCAGTTTAGTGCATGAACCTGAAAATATTTGACTTTCTTGAGGTTTGCTTCAGAAGAACATGACTTTCTAATTAGATAGTTTGAGTACATTTAGCTGTATTTGTGGTACAAGTATTAGTGTATTAGAATTAAAGTTGTGTGTATTGTGTTACTGTAGTTTCCATAGTCGTATTACAACAGAGAAACTGATGTAGGAAAGTGTATCCATAGATTTCAAACTGCTCCACGATTGTGTTTAAAAGACATATTAAAGGAAGTTTTATTTTGCTGACTGTAAATGCCACATACCTAAAGAGAATAACTTCAGTGCTATCCTAATTCTTTGAGAACCAAATCTGCCTCCTATCTATATTTATTGGAGCAGATTTGACATAAGCACATGCACACGTAAACATATACAGTCTCAATCCCCGTGTGCTTGTTTTATTATTTAATGCTTGTGATGTCTGGAAGGAAGCTCAGGCAGAACTCAGCTGTAACAACAGGAGACTGTGGTGGAGACGTGATGTAAAGCTGACCGTGCAGAAGTTGCTGCTTCAGTATACTACTGCATTGTTTTCAAATGAATGATATTTTAAGGCGTGAACCAGTAGAATGAAATACCATTAGGCTTTACTTCCTGCCACTTCAACAATTGATTTACTCATGCAGTCAATCTACTTGACACCACAAGTGTCGGGGTTTCTGAAATGCCTCGCAGGTTGTTCAGCCCTCTCTTTACCTTAAGGGTGTCAGAACAAAGCCCTGCATTCACATTCAAAGCCATGGCCTGCCTCTGTGACAGCAGACACGGTTATGTTCTGCATGAGCTGGAAACATAGAAATAAGAGAAGAGCCAAGAGAGTGTCTGCTTTGGGCCTGTAATTACGGTTTGTGTCTGCTTCCGAGGACAGCGGCAAATTATCCACCACAGACGAGGAAATCCCCGAACTACAGAAGAAAATAGACAAGAGGAGCGTAAAACCTGGAATGTGTCCAGAGAGATCTTCATTTAAGTACACACAACTAAAATCAAGTTAGTACGTTCTGATTTATAATGCTGAACTATTACCAACAAAGTGAATCAGAGGACGAGAATAACTCTGACTGTTACTGAAATACAGATGTGGTTTGCTTCTTACTCTGCCCCATTATCCCCACCAGATATAGATTTTATTCAGAGAAAAATAAAAGACAGAAATATAAAAGCATCACATCAACTTTTTTTTTATAGGCAGAGAAAAAAAAATAATGGCTATACTTTTATACAAGACATTTAAAAAGACCAATTCAGAGCACAAATACATAAATCACAACTAATAACGATTACAGTGAACAGGTTAAACAAGGAGGAAAAAGCACAAGCACTATAACTTGAAGAGTGTATAAAAAACATTCCCTACTGGGTAATTACATTGAGGACCGCTGCGTTCAAGGACACAAGAAGCTCTCGAAAAAGCCGTCATGTCTCAGATTGGTAGATGCTACCGTCTCTGAAACAATCCCACATTATAGTCATAATTATTTAATAGAGATTAAAAATCAAACAACGCTAAAATCTTATGGCTTTGCTGTTCTCTCGAGTCTCTAAAATGTTAAAGATTAGCACCACTGGGCTGGCATTAACATCAAAAGCTGGGTTAATGTAAATAAGCACTGTGAAAGGATTCAAAATATTGTCCGTGTTCACCCACTGTGTCTTTGTCTAGTGTTCTAGAGCCAGAAGGAAATCGATCCACTTCCACCACAGTGGGTGGCTGAAAGGAAACAGGATCAAAGCCGAGAGTACGCTTTTCCATTTCAGCAGAAAGCTTTTCTCAACATTCTCTGTCCTCTCATTTTTAAGCCTTTTTTTTTTTTTGTTCTTTTGTTTCAAAACGCATCAGCATTATAAAGGTTGACGGTCACATTGTAAGACGTGTTGTACGACATGTACACAGACCAAGAAAGAAATAAAATAGGGACATCAGATTTTGAGAAGCTACTGTTATTTACACGCCTCTATCCGTCTAAACATGTCACTTTGTAAAAAGCTGGGCTTTGTACTGAAACTGCCTCGTCTTCACAGGTAGAAAAATACAAGGTTTGTATCCCCAGACACGCGAGCAGTATTTTCTGCCATGTCATGCAAAAGCACGTTATCACCTTACTGTCCTAGAAAAATAATTGGTAGCAAAATAGACTGTAGAGTCTCGAGGGTCATGCATCTGTTCTTTTCACTGGTTTCTGTACATAATTCAGCGGTTTTTCACGGTCTTGAGTGTGCAAAAAGTCAATATCACTGATGGCTGAAAACAAGACCAATGTTATGGACTGCTGAGAGAGAAAATTAAAAAAGCAAAAGGCATCTTCCTGCTCTCTTTACACAGCCTTATATCACACACACACACACACACACACACACACACACACACACACACAAGTATTCAAACTACATTTTGTGTGCTCAATTAATAATTTAACTTAAAAGTCTGCTGAACAGTACAGTATGTGAGATGTTTTCAAGTCATAATACTACCTACTACACAATAGAACACTGCAAAAGTATTTTGCAAATTGGCAAAGCTTCCTGAAATCAATGCAGGATATATTTCATATAACCTTCTGACAAGAACTATTGCAGCTGTGAACTGCAACCGCCATTGAATGTACTTTGCCGACATTGCTTTGCTAGAATATTAACATTTTTAAAAAGTGCATCATCCTCCTGATGACATTTGATGAATGCCAGTCTTTAAGTACTCGTAAGGGTTTTAAGAGTTGTAACTCCTGTAGGCTTCATTTGAATCTTGACTGATTTGTTCCTGTCTGAAACTCTAATCTGTAGTTAAACACTGTGCTTTTTGCCTTGTCGGGGTAACATATGACAGTATGAGAACCACATGCTTGTACTAGGCGTTAAGTATGTTGCTTCACACAGTGTTTACAAATGGTGGCTGAACATTCCTATTATAATATTCATTTTCAATCCATCTCACTGGGTCACATTTGTTAATGTCTTCATAACCAATCAAATGCCCAAATACAGAAACAAAGTCAAGTGAAATGCATTTAAAATGATCTTATACATGCTTTACAAAATTATTATTAATGCTTAAAAAAAAAAAGTACGTTCATTTCTTTTATATTCACTGTAACATCTGTACAAACAAACAAAACGTAGAAATCATAAAAAATAAATGAAATTGAATCAAGAGGAAAGAAATGAGAATCTCTTAATTGAAAACAAATAAAACAAACTCCTCCCATTGCCTCAGCCTTTCTGGCACTACTTTGCCATCATAATAATTCTGGACAAAATGTTGAGATCATACTTACATGGTACTGCTTTAATGCACTTGTCCCCTTTCGCCACAAACAACATGTATATAAAAAGTGCTACTGACAGCTGGTGGGGAGGAAGGACTAAGTTACAGATTGAGGATTGGCTGAATGAAGCGGGGGGGCTCGTCGTGTTTCCGTACTTGTGTAGCCGTGCCTGCATGCAGTCTGTGTGTTTTTAGTCACTGACAGGAAGTGGGTGGGTGAAGGTTTCCCCTAAGAGACGCTGGAGCAGCGGATGCTGGGGGAGCCCATCTGTGTGAGCACCTTGTCGAGCCACTGCAGGGGGCCGTTCAGGTGCAGCTCGATCCAGCAGGGGGTGCTGGTCACCGTCTGTCGCCTGGGAGAGACACACGAGGAGGAAGCAGAAACAGATGTTGAGCACACTGGGAGAGCCGTTTAGAGCAGAACGAGTAAACTTACAAAGTCAGCAAAGTCAAACTATTCTACTGTCATTTTAGTCCCCTGTTCTCTTTTCTATTGGTGTTGTTCAGATCTATATTTCATGTCTACATTAAATGATGTTGGTCTATGTATTAAATGCTTCATCGACATCGTGATGAGTTCAGCTGAACCAGAATAAATGTGATGACCTAGCCAAAACTACAGTTTGAATGATTTTAAATAAAAAAAGTAATTTATGGGTATCATACTGAAACTGAAAATATAAAGTTTTGTTTCATAAACACGTGTTACCTTTGTTCTATATACCTCTGAAAAACCTTGGATGTACAAAGTAATGATACGGTTTCTCCACTTACGCATCTTTTCTTTTGTTCTTGAAAAATAAAAAGTTAAGAGGCAACACAAACAACCATTTTCCAGACATTCAACCTCTTGATCTCCACATCCTTTGGCACCTTTCTGATTCCCTACCGGCTTTATACAAAACCACTTACTGCTCTCACAACATAATGTTTGAGCGCAAGTGGAGTTAAGTGACAGCTCTTATACCTAAAGGGCCTGGCATTGGCTCCAGAAAACACTTCAGACGCTGTGTTACAAAATGTAGTTTATAATTACTTAAAAAAAAAAAAAAAAAAAAGGGGGGTTAGATTTCCAAGTGTTCCTCAACCCGTCATTTCTGCCTCTGTGCTCTGCCATTGACTTGTTTCTGCTGTGCTGTTTTTCGGAACATTTCTTTCGGTTAAAAGTGATGAACCTAAAGCCCATGTTTTAAGGCGGCTAGAATGAGGCAAGTAAATAAAACAACTAACACCATAATCTCTCAGTTGACGCCAAGAACAACAGCAGGCAAAATGTTTCCTGTACATTGTTATACATCTAATTTATGCGTTGGCAAGCCAGATGAACAGAGGCACTTGCCAGCTGCGTGGTTTGCCTCTGGTTTACATGGTTTGTTTCATGAGTGCTGGTAATAACGCTCCCGACTGATTAAATTAGGTGTAACAATCATAGTTTTTGCAAGATTTTTCATTCATCTTTATACCCGTCTGTTCATTTTCTGTTGTCAGAACAGGTAAAAGAGACAAAAGAGTTTAAAAAAAACAGCCAGCATGGGAAAAGACAGGGAGTGGGGTGTGGGTGGAGGCCTGGCTGGTCCAGTAACCTGAATCCTGTTTTTAACCGTCTCCACATGTCTTCATTCGGTCTGGACAGGACGCTCACAGCTCTAAAGTTTCCCCCCTTGAGGAAACCTCCTGCACAGAGCCAACATTCAGCCAATCACCAGCTCCTCCTTCCTTACTATCAGTGAGTCAGACCATATGGAAAACAGGGAGGGGATGGAACAGGGAAAGTCTGACATCTCTCTTTTTTTTTTTGACACGGCACATGCGTTTGTTTAAAAATAGTCTGCCGTGCAGACCGGGGCCTGTTTCTATTGATGAGGACTCGGCGATGTCATCCACCGGATTCACCAGAGTGTGAGCCTGTGAGCGTGGGGGTGGCCGGATTGTGGGATGTGATTCACAGCCCGTTTGTTTGTATTGTCTGTGTTTACATAAGGGCTGGTTAATGACTTGATCTCTGCACAACCGCGCTTCTAATGTTGCTGACAAGTTGGTTGTGGGTTTTATCAGCTGTTAAGCAGTTCAGCTCTGTAGCGGTTGGGGTTTAGGGAGTGAGTGAGGGGTTGTCGTTGACCTGATCTGTGACAGAAGCTTACCTGTACTCGGCCCCCCAGCCCTTGACAAAGCTCATTCGGATGGTGCACATCCTGGTGAGTTGGTAGACAGCCTCAAACCCCTGGTTGACTGACTGGGCCAGCAGGGCGGCAAACTCCTGGTTATTGAAGATCTTCAGGTTACATCCTGGAGGGAAACAACCGGCACACGACCAAAAGTCAGACCACAACAACAACGGGTCACAATCACTTTGGTTTCACTCCGTTTAGACATGTAGACTCGGGAGGGTGTGGCTTTAAGGGGAAGTTGTTATTTGAAGCTTTTTGTGGCTCTGGAGGGAGCTGAAACCTGATAAAGTACCTCAGGTGATGTCACAGTGCATCGTGGGTAATAGAGGCACCAGGTTTTGAAAGAAAGCATGGAATAAAAAGCTTACATTTCTGGTCCTGCTGAATCGATTCTGATATCTTTTTTTTTTTTTTTTTTTTTTTTTAATACCGTCAATCATGTGTTGAACAATGCTACAGGAGTACAATCAGTGGGGCATTCCTTTAAACATGGGTGGAAAATGTGGATGAAAGTGAATAAGATAAGTCTGAAAGTTACAAAGTTCTTTTCTGGAATCTCCCTAGAATCAGCCGATTCATACTGTTTAATACTTCAATGCAGTGATTTTATTTTCATCTCACTGGAAGGTGAGATCTTCACTGCAGTGATCTTAATCAGGTGAACAATATATGACTTTAATTTCTCTATGTATGTGAACTTGTGCAGCCTTCATGTTAATCTGACAGCATTCACTTCTGACTTGTGTGGTGTTGAAAGTGGAACAAGGTTTAACCCAATAAGACTGCGGTCATGATCTTTATGTGAAACCAACATGTAGCACTGCCGTGACATTTAAGAAAAGCGGTGCTTTTCTGAAAGGGTTACAAGACAACAAAACCACCATTATGGAAAACTTGTAACACTCCTCACACTTTTACAAATGATGTGGTCAAAGTAAAACAGACCATTGAGGAGCAGAAGAACCTTTATATTAAACAGATTTCACTTCAGCCAAAGAGGTCATTCCTGGACTGGTGGTAAAGGAAAGTGATGGGTTGGATGCGTCCTCTGCTGTAGTGATACAGCCACAGTAAATCTGTTCTGAATCATCCATTAATCGTAACTTAGCGACCAAAACAGGTCCTCCAATGTTGTCAGTTTTGCCCCAGATATTGAAAGAGCTCAAAATTCTGGCGGTAGAAAGTCGCTGACAAACACACATTGTTGTCTCCATATGGGACAACACAACTTCATACTCGACGTTATTTTATGAACACAACTGGAACACACACACACACACACACACACACACACACACACACACACACACACACACACACAG